CACCGGGAGCTGGACATTGGGAAGATTCGAATACATGGTACCTGCTTTCAAAAAGCTCAGGGACTGGTAGGGGACCCCACTAGTTAGCACTGTAACTTACGGAAGTAAACCCCGGGTGCCACGAGAGCACAAAGAAAGGGGCGAATGGAGGGGGTCCCAGGTTTCCAGAAAGAGCACAGTAGCCTGTTTGCAAAAGTGCTTGAGACAACGATAGTCAAAATAATCTAGTGCTAGAAAGCACACACCTTAGGAATAGACTGCTTCATTTTGAATTCTGGTTCTTCCCCCTGCTTCCTGTGTGACCTTGGAGGCCTCCTTAACCTGTCTGTGCCTCGGTGTCTTATTAATCTACAAAATGAGCATAACAATAGAGCCTGTGTCTTAGTTATTAGAGCTATGCACTCAAAAAATGTTTTTATCACTTGATTTTTAAGTGCTTACTTTATAATTTTCCACTGTGGAATGTAAATTGGTATTTATAACTAAAATTCTTGCATTTCTAGAGGTGGGATCCTGACACAACACTTTTATTTATAATAAGTTGACACACTTTTGTAGGTTTATATTATAAAACATTTTTACAGAAAAATAGGTCATATAGTTTGTGAAATGTACTTATTTGTCATACTACTTTTCATCCATGGAAACAGGATTACAGAAGTAACAACAATAAACATTAGGTAACCACCAGCTAGCCTCGGTTAATACTACAGATCTTGTGAAATTCATAGTCAGTCGCTGGGGGCATCGTGTCATGCTTTGCGGTTTTCACATGCTTTCAGTCTCTCAGTCCTTCAGCCTTCCTGTGTGAAAGGCAAGCAGGTAGCAGCTGCTATAAAACTGCTCTCAGCCTCAGTTTTCTCTTCTGTGAAATTGGTATCTATTACTCGAGCACGTCACAGGGCTAATGTGGGATGGAGCTGGTGCCAGGACCCTTTCTGCTTGCTGATCCCGTGCTTTGCTTGTGGATCATAACAAAACTCTACTATGATAAAAGCTTGGTCATCTGCAGTCATCAGGGAGAACACCATTGTGGAGAATAATTTCTGAATAAACAAGAGTATAGCTATCTCAGCCTTTAGATTTAATTTGGTTTTTTTTAGATTTAAAATTGTACGATAACCGGTTTCTGTATCGCATTAATACAGCTGACGTATAAGCGGGCTGCCCACCCTCCCTCCCTGTGTTCACTGTGGGCAGTGTGGGCCTCCCCTCCCCACCCCAGGACACTCCCTGGCTGTGACTGCATCATGCACCCCTCCCTCTTAGGGGCGGAGGTTCAGGTGCCTATTGGGTCACTTAGGCGCACACACAGAGTAGAGGCCCTTTATCTTCAGTGGCCGCTGTGTCCAGTGAGGCACTGGGAGCTTGTCACCCCTTCCCCGCTGACTCCCCCAGTCCCAGAACAGTTCTGTCTCAGTCACGGGCTCTCTTCAGAATCTGGCACTCTCTTCTGATTGTTTTTGTTCTCTCTCTGCCACATTCCTCTCTGTGCTTTTCCTTCCTCTTCTCTGATCAATGTATTATTTTAGCAAGCATTTGTAGAACGCCTGTTATGTACTGTAACCCCCAGGATGAAAAAATAAAGGGAAAAAAAAAACAGACGAAAAAATGAGTGTAATAGGGCACAGGGAAGCAAGGCAAGGGTGATGTTGCAGGGGCTGAGTGGGGGAGGCCACGTGTACCTGGGACACTTGGGGACGTCGTCACAGGCCAGGTCACGCCTGCACGTGTCCACCTGTGGGAAACTGGAAGGGAATTCTCGGGCCAGTGAACAGTGTGAACCGACGGACATGTTTGCAAGAAATGAGAACTTGTGTAAGGGGAGATTTGTGACCTGGAGATCAGAGGTGGCGGGCGGGAGGCAGGACTGAAAAGACAGCCCGGGGCCAAGTCGTAAGGGATCTGGTGTCATCACTGCTGAGGTGTCGGTCCTCACCGCGAGGACAAGCTGCTGCAGGGTGGCCCTCGCTGGTGTGCGAGCATGCTGACCGCTGTCGGGCCCGGCCAGGACCGAAGGGAGGGAAGGTTGGAAGAAGGGTGCCAGTCAGGCAGCTCCTGCAGCAGCCCGGAGGGAGAGGGTGCAGACCACACGAGGGCGCGGCGCAGAAGGGAGCAGGAATCGGAGGGCGCCATGAGAGGGAAGAGAGGCCACGAGGGAGAGGGTGCAGACCCCACGAGGGCGCGGCGCAGAAGGGACAGAAGGGAGAGGGAATCGGAGGGCGCCATGAGAGGGAAGAGAGGCCATCAGACTCGGCCCTGAGCTGCTGGCACAGAGCTGTCTGCTGACGCCGTGAGCTGGAGTCAGGGCCGCAGGGAGCACAGAGGGGTAGTGGGGAGGATACCGAGTTCGGTTTTGCAGGTTAAAGGTGTCTGAGATTTCCAGGTGGAGTTGCCCAGGAGGCAGTTGACAACGTGGGTCCAGCCTCAGGAGTCAGAGCTAAAGATATGGTGACTTTAGAACTTCAACGATGGTTAAAACCTTTGACTGTCCAGGGAGAATATGTATAGAAAAAAGAAAAAGAGAGTAACTGAGGACACACCAGAGGACAGCAGCCTTAAAGGTGGCCGCATTCGCTGGAGCTCGTGCCTGTCAGGACGTAGTGTGCAGAGCACCGAACCAGCAGATGCTTCACGGTCAGGTGGAGGAAGAGGAGCTGTCTGGGGACTGAGGACAGAGAAATCAGCATTGGAGAGAAGAGTGTCAGGTGAAGGGGTGCCACGGGGAATGGGGAGTCGCGGGGACAGATGCTGCGCAGGGATTCTGGGGGACTGACCTTTGGGACTCAGACTCAGAGCTCTCTGGCATCAGTGAAAATGCGTGTTAGGTGCAGCCTCCTCTGCTTTCTGAATGTCCTGTTGCTTCTCCGTTTTTATGTGAAGGGATTGGTATGTATAGATATCCACTGAGCAGAACATCCTTTTCTAATTGGAAATATCACTGAATGGACTGTGAATGTAAGTTTTGCTCTTTAACTGCTTTTGCCTGTTCTCGTTTGCAGTTCAAAAGACTTTCTTTTTCTTCCTTTCGAACAGCAGATCCAGTTCTGGTTCTAGCCAGCCTACAGCATCTTAGAAAGTTCCTAACTAAAAGTTTTACTCTGCATGGATTTTGTAACACCGAGCCCTGTTCATGGGAACATCTGTTAATATGTACAAGAGAGTTCACACCTTGTGCTCATGACTTCATCTGTAAATACGCTGAAAGTTTGATGCTCGCGGCGCCTGCGCTCATGGTATCGCTAATTCTCCAAACAGATTATGAATCTAGTATTTAAAGAAGTGTGTGCGCGCGCGCGTGTGCATGCGTGCTGGTATAAAGTAACTTCTAAACATAAGCAAGCTCCTTGACTTTATGCTCAAAGATCCATTCCAGTGCCGGGGGCAGTAAGCTGGTCAGGGCCATGGAGAGAGTCTTCCTGAGGGCTTTTCAGGGGCGTTTTCAGCTGTGTGCTCTTTGCCCCGTGCATGCAGACTTCAGCACTCACGTAGACGTAACTCCTGAAGTAGGTACATGGGAAAGAAGTCACCTTCCTTCTTTGTCATGTTCTGGAGAGAACACCAATACTGCATTTGGTAAAAGGACCAGAAGGCCAGCTCGGAGCAAAGAGGACAGTTTGAAAACTTGGTTTCCTTGAGTTCGGCCTCCCGGGGAGTAAGAATAGGAAAGGTGTATGTGAAGTCAGGGGTACTGAGAGGTCATTGAGGTGATGGCCTCCGAGGGAATATGACAGGTTGCAAATAGCTAGAATCGGGCTTTATTACCAGCTTAGCTTCTCATCTCAAGTTGGCCAGTGACAGCCACGTGGGAAGTCCCCAGCCTCCTTTGGCCTTACTTTCCTCACCTGAGATGAGACGACTCTGGCTGGGTTTGCTGTGGAGGAACAGAAGAAACGGGTGGGCAAATGGAAATATCCCAGGAAAGGGGGTTCTTTCCGATCTGGTCGAGGTTCTGCTTCGTGTGACCTTCTGTCATAGGGGTTCAGATGTGGATTACTTTGAGCTAGAGGCAACCATGACCCTGTGGGCTCAAGAGAAACTTCTGCCCCGCCCCCACTCCCGCCACAACCGCCACCCCAGCTATCTAGAAGATTTAAAATTAGAGTCCTGGCCCATGATAAGAGTTATCAACAGAATTAACTTCTTTACCTATTTACATGGCAGGGCAAACTAATCATTAAGCTAATAATTACTGAGCATGTGCTTTTCTGTAGTTACCTCTGGAAGCCCCAGGGTGCCTCACCTCATCCCTAGCTCAGAATGTCATGTATGCACCTCATTTTCTCTTTCTGCTTCTGAACCTCTCCTGTGTGGCGTCTCTGACTCATGTGTGCAGGGTTCCCGAACATATGTATGTAATGGAATTTGGTCATTTTCTCTTGCAAATCTCTCCTGTTTATTTGATGGTTAGACTAGCCGGAAGAGCCTCGAGGGCAAAGGGCATTTCTTCCCTGCCCCATGCTCTGAGCAGCAGCATGTCGGTAGGCCTTCACCCAGGGAACCGGCATCGTGTAGCCGCTTCTGCAGAGATGCTGCAAGGCTGAAGAAGGTGCACGGCCTTCACGTACTTCACCCGCGTGGTCTTGGACTGAAGCATTGCCTGTTAAGTGACTTGGCTTCCTTTAAAACAAAAACAAAAACAGAACAAAAACAAACACACACACACACACGTCCATTTTATATATCCTTGCCGTGTACTCTTTTTACCTGCCTTCATGGTCCTGTATCGCCCATAAGACTCAGGACTAGGCTCTCACAAAACACTTTTCTGACTATTCTGGCTCACAGTAAGTGTCCTTTCTATATTCCTGTGGAATTTTCAGTTTATACCACACAGAGCAGCCATTTTCCCAACAGTCTCTGCTGATGATTTGTGTGTAGTTGTTCAGTTCTGGGCACATAATTATAGATTACTTTGTTTTACTGTGTTTTATATATGTATTACCTGTGGCCCCGGCTAGTATGTAAGTTCTTTGATAAATACTGTTCTTTTTGTTTTGTGTCATTTTCTTTTCCTGTAGAACTTTCATTGTTGAGGTTCCTCAGTGCTGAACTAACGAGAGGTTACTTCCTCGAACATAACGAGGCCAAGTATACAGAAAGAAGAGAGAGAGTATACACTTGTTTGCGAATACCAAGAGAATTGGAAAAGGTACTTTTTTTTTCTTTTACCAGACATCATTTTGAAAGTTATGTCAACGTGTTAATTATATCCAAAAAAAAAAAATTTGTGAACAGCGTGAGTTGAGCTTTTAAAATATTGGAAATAATGTGATCATAAGTAATTAAATATATTAGAGAAACAGGAATTCCTATACAGGAAGAGAATTTAAAGAGTATATTTTTAGTGTAAGATCCGATGATTCTTAACTTTGCTTCTTGGTAAACTTACCATATTTCAGTTTGTGTCCCATCCAGAAAACTTTTTCCAGGGAGTCACTCTATCTACTCCTGTAGTTTTCTTCAGTTTTGTTTTACTAAAAGCAGTTCTTTTTTCCACTCGGCGTGATAAATTATTTAATTTCAGCCTTTTTAAAGTCTTAGTTTCTCAGAAAGCCCTCATACTTAAAATAACAGTCTCTTCTAAGAAAAAGATGGTCCATTTCACTTTCCTCACAGAAAGCGTCACGTCGTAAGACAAGCATAGTTGTTACAGCCCTAAAATCTCTACACACGGTCTCCCTTGACTCTCGTGTCTGTCAAGACCAGTCGGGTATGACAGGAGGCCGCCTTTTTCCTTCTGCATGGCTAGAGTTGGTGACTACAGTTGGCAGCTCCAAAATTTCTTGCTAGAAGGAAAGAATTATGAAATAATTTCGGCTTTAGCTATATTCAAACATGTTTTCATGCTTCTATAGTAACATGAAACTTATTTCGATCGCTTCCTCAGTCATACCTTCTGTTGGAGTGGCTGTCAGAAGACTTTGGCTGGCTCGCTTAATCAGTGGATTTTAAGCGGCATGCAAGACACGTGGGACGTGAGCACCCACGTCTCGTGTCCTTTTCTTTCTGAAAATCCGTCAGTTCGGTAGCAGGAGGAGCGTCAGATGTAGTGTGACAACTTGAGAAATGTGGCTTTACGTCGGTTCTCGGTGGCGTGTCGCGTGCTGAAGTAGGAGGTTCTGTGTCGGGGTGAGATGTAGAGAGTTGGGGAGCAGGCGGGGATTCTGGGAGAGAGCAGGTAGGACAGTGTGACCACGTGCTGCCTCTGGTTGCGATCGCTGAATCGCTTGGTTCTTATTGTCTTATTGGACTGTTGCTTCTCCAGGGAGCTCTGGGGTTCCAAGGAGGAACCCAGGGACTGGTAGCTGAGAAAGTAGGTGGAAGAGTGTGGGGGGTGCTCTCTGCAGCCCTCCACCCCCCGTATAGCAGCACCTTTACTTCGTATATTGGAGTCGATTTAAGATTTTATTGGGGCGGGGGGTAACGTTTCTTCTCGCAAGAAAAGTCATTCTCGTGTCTTCCTTAATCTACTTTTAATATGCTTTTCAGAGCTTACCTTTTCTTCCGTGATGAGCCATGAGATGGATGTGTGAGGACACACTGCAGAGGCAGTTGGAGGGACAGTCTGCTGTGGCCTGGCTCGCACAGGACAGTGCCAGCCCAGTCCGTTTTTACCCACCTGGTCTGTACAGAGGGATTTTTTCCCTCCATCTGAGCAGTTTGGGACTCCCGTTTTTCTCTGGGGAGAACACAGGGATTCGTTTTTAACCCACAGCCAAACCGTGGCCACACCCAGGGGCCTGCTTCAAAGCAGGGGTGTCTATCTGTCTGTCTGGCCTTTTTATTACCTTCTGTGACAGAAATAATGAGCAGTAGCAACATCCTCTCCTAATTCTGTCACCTCACCAGAGGCACATTCAATACACATGTCCTTCTCTGTTCTTTATTAGCAACATTGAAATATCAAGCAAGTTTCTGAGTAGATATCTCAGAGAAACTTAAAAGCATTTCATGTTTGTTATGGTGAGCGTTAAGTTGTCTTCTGGGGAAACTGCCCACAGGTCTTGATAAGACGTAAGTGTAAATCAGTGTTTTTCAAACTGATCCATTTTAGGACCGCTGATGGATAACCCATATGGTAAGTTGCAATCAATTAAGATTTTTTTTTAAAGAAAAGAATAGAGAAAATATTAGAGTGCTTTGCCTGTACTAAAGGTAATAGTTTCTTCATGAAACTTTGGTTTCATTTGGTTTCAATTGCAAAATGAATTCTGTCCGAAAGGTTGACGTGACGCTTTCCCTGTGCTGTCGTGAGATGTTTCCGACCCTGTTTCCCATGAGAGAGGCTGTCGCTTCAGGCCTATTTAGGAAAGTTTGATTTTGTCTCCCAGGACAATACTTGAGAAGCTTTCTTGTTTAAAATGCATGAAAGGAAGCCATATATTTCAGTTTAGAGCAATTTCTTCTAAACTTTTAAGTGAAACATAGAGGAAAGAAGTAGATTTCATTTTAATTCCAGGCTTAAATGTCTCTCATAACAGCATGAATTCATTCTGATTCCTCTAAGGCCTGTGCTTTATGTGAATAGGGCTTTACTTCAGGCTTTTATTAAAGGAGTTGAGAGACTATTTAGTCATTCATGTTAATCTAAATTATTTTTTATTGTTTTTTGTGTGTGTGTTTACATAGTCTATTCTAATATATAATACCTTACTCATTTTTGTTCTCGTTTTTTGGTGAATGTTGTATTTTCACCTTGCCTTTTGAGGAAGAGAGACTTGATAATTAAAGAGCACTTGCGTCTGCAGGGGTTGTAAATACTATAAAACATGTTAATTAATATTTATACTTTAAAGTCAAGAGAAAGGTCAACTAAGTATCTCTTACTGAACCTGTTTAAAATGTAAAAAAATCCCTGATTTTTGTCCAGGACTAATTTTATCAGCTGTATGAAGCCAAAACTGCAGGAGACAGTTAAAAAAAATACTCATCATAGTAATTTCTAAAATTGCCTCATATATTTTAATGCTGATATAAAGAAATACAGATCACTTATTCACGTATTTATTTTCTGTCTTTGTTTCGAGTACTTACTGCGTTCCAGGTACTTTTATATGTGGAAGTATGGAGACAGACGTACGACTCGCGACGGTACTGGCTGGGTGACAAGAGGGAGAGGTGGATTTTGTATGTGCATCATAGGGCGTGTGTGGGGGGAGGGGAGGGTATGCCAGGACGATCCCAAGGTGGGACATTGTTAGGTGCATACAAGGGCCAGGTACACTGGAAGGAGAGGCTGGATCCAGGGTACTTTGAGTGGTTGAGCTAAGGAGTTTAGTTAGACAAACAAGCTTTGGAAGGAAATTATTAAACTGTATTTCCCAGGAATATTTTTAGCTGTGTATATAACGGACTACCTAACAGTGACTTAAACAAATAAGATTCTTTTTTTTTAACAAGTCTAAAGGTGGGAGATCGCGGTTATTCCAGAAGATCAATGAAGCCAGCATGGACTCTAGTCCTTTTTATCTTTTATTTGCCATCGTTGCACGTTGGCTATTAGTCCTCTTGCTTATCGCCTTTTAATAGAAAGATGACAGTTGCAACCTCAGGCATTACATCTGCGTTATAATCAGAAAAGAGGAGGTGGACAGTTCCACCCTTTTGACTGTCCCTTTTATAAAGGATTCAAAGCTTTCCCAGAAGTACCTCAGCATACCTTTCCGCTTATGTCTTATTGGCCCAACTGAGTTACACAGGCGTCCCCAGACACAAAGGACAGCGAATGTTACGCTGTTCCAACAAAAGGAGGAACAGATTGAGAATGGTGGTTGGGTCAGCCACCCCTGAGAGGTATGCTTCTGAAAATTAGTCTAGCAATGTTCAACGTGGATTGGAAATAAGAGAAGCAAGAAAATCTCAACTCTTTGCATGTGCACGATCTTTCCTCAAATTAAAATCAGTTCATTGATTTACCTCCAAGAAATGTGTTCCTCATGTCAGAGGTCGTGATTATTATAAAGCTTTTTATCAAAATTACTTTTCTGTGGTTACATGTTTATGTAAGCTTGCCTATCAAAAAAGTTAAAACTAAAATGAAAATACATTTTTGAATTTAATTGATAATTCTATGATTTGGGCAATCCTTTATTTCGTTGTTACGATGTTTTATACATTATATTATTTAATACATTATTTTTAAAAGTTGAATTCAACTTATCAGTCTTAAATGGAATTATTTGGTTGTCTTAAGAATCCAGTGAGTTTTTATTTGTAAACTTTAAATTTGTCAGGTTGTTGATACACGTATTGCTGTAAGTATAAGATATTGTTATTTTTAGGCACAGACTGCTGTTATTATTGAAAGAGAAAGGTTACTGTCACACAGCGGATTATTTGGGGTCAAGATTCAGTGCCCTTAGCTTCACTTCTCAGGTCTGCAGGTAATAGCCCAGTGGCCTGATAGAGGCCTTGAACCTTCTTTGGCTTTGATTTTCTTCGTGTGAGGTTAGAAGGTTGGACGAGGTCCTCCTGAGCGCTGACGGTCCCTGACTCTGCGAGCGAGTTTGCCCGTGAGGAACAGAGGGAACAGGAGTGAAAGGGAAAGATTCGCAGAAAGGGAAACGTTACGGATCTAGTTGAGTTGAGTTCCGCTTGTTTGAGGATCAGAGGCGGTTACAGAAGTAATTCAAAAGTTCCTTCCAAAATAATGAACTTAATCCAAATGTCACATAAAGCGTTTTGTTGTTTCTCGGTGTAAGTTATATGTTAAGAAAGTGTAGTCACAGCCATAGGTCCACCTTTAATTCAGTAAAACAGCCCTGGGATTTCATGGTGAAACCAGCAGAGTCTCAGACCAGTGTTGATGGCAGTGATTTCTTGGGCATCCTGCTCAGTGTCTGATTCCATGAAAACATGTTTGGGGAACCATCCCTCTAAATTATGCTCAGCATGCGGCTCTCGTTTGTGACTCACCCGCCTCGCTCGGATGGCCCACCACGCAGCTGCTGAGAAGCAGGAAAGCCGTGGGAGCCGCACATCACAGAGTGTCAGCGGCCTTGGCCGGTGTGCCTCCCTTTCTCTCTGAGGCTCGTTGCCCCTGCTCGTGGACGTGGTGACAGCAGCTTCCATGTTCCTTCTGTAGTCCTCATATCCTTCTTAATGCTAGGAGACAGGGCCAATTGGGCAGCAACACCAGTAGCCTGCTCC